AGTAGTAGGTGCCGATTCCTGAAGCTTGAAAGAAGCGGATCTGCGATACCTCACAGCTTTCAAAACGCGGATCGGCAATTTCCCCGAGCTTGACACCAGTGAATCGGCAAGTTCACACCAGAGCTTGAAACCAGTCTATGTGCAGTTTCGCATGTCTTGCTTCAAGTGCCTCTGCGATTCCTTAGACTCCGTTACCTGACTCTGATTCGGCTGTTAGGTGGCAGTGGCTTGACTTTCTTTCCGTTGCGAGTCGGGTGTCGTCTGCTTCTGCTTGTCCAAGAGCCGGTTAGGTGATTTCCCGCAGTTTCATAGAACCGGTGTGGCGATTCTTCAAATCAAAGTTTCAAACAAACGTATCTGCGATTCCTCAACCTTTTCAAAAAGCCGGTGGGCAATTTCTCACAGCTTGACACCAGTGAGATCGGCGATTCCTCAGCAGAGCTTGAAACCACATGATCCGGGAATTCTGACACCTTCAAAGAAGTGCATATACCGTGATGCGAATGTGATTCGCCTCTCATGTGGCTGTGGCTCGGCATTGATTTGGCTATGTTTCGGCTGTGATGCGGGTTAGATCCGGCTAGGAGTATCGCTCGGGCATCGCTCACAGTGTCACACAGCCGGTGCGGCGATTTGCCAGAGCTTGGAACAAGCGGATCGGCGATTCGTCAGAGCTCCGAAGACTTGGATGGTTCAAGCTCCAGGACTTTGCCGATCCAGTGGCTCCCAGGTCTCATACATTGCCGATTCACTTCTGTGATGCTCTGAGGAATCGGCGAAGTGGATATAGGATTCGTCACAGGCCGTGATCCGCTTGTGATTCCCCTCTCATGTGCCCGTGGCTCGGCTCTGATACGCTTTTTGATTTGGCTCTGATTGGGTTGTGCTGCGGTTCTGACCCGGTGCGGAGTATCCAAGAGCCGCATCGGGGATTGCTCAGAGTCTCACACAGCCGGTACGGCGATTCTGCAAAGTTTCAAAGAAGAGGATTGGTGAGTCCTCAGAGCCGGTTTTGAAAAAGTGTATCGGCTATTTCTCAGAGCTTGTGACCAAGAGCTACAGAAACCAATGGATCGGCTATTGCTGAGAGTTCGAAACGAATGTATCTGCGATTCCTCAGAGGCTGTGAGCCGACTCTGCTTTGCCTCTCATGCGAGTGGGAGCCGGTTGGGACTAGGAAAGAGGCGAATCGGGGCAGTGTCACAGTTTCATACAGTGGGTGCGGCGATTCCTCAAACCTGCCAAGATGCGGATCGGCGATTCCTCAGACCCGATCCTGAAAGAGCGGCTCGGCGAGTTCTCAGAGCTTGTCACCAGTGGATCGGCAATCTCCTAGAGCTACAGAAACCCATGGATCGGCAATTTCGGCGAGATTTTCGAGTCCTAAGAGGCTCTGATCCGACTGTGATTCGGCTGTCAGGTGGCTCGGGCTCGGCTGTGATTCGGCTCCCATGTGGCTATGAGTCGCCTCTCATTCGAGTGGGATCCGGTTGTGACTATATGGAAGAGGCGGAAAGGGGAAGTGTCGCAGTTTCACAGAAACGCCGCGGCGATTCTGCAAATCTTTGTCGAAGCGGATGGCCGAGTCGTGAGACCTTACAAAAAGCCTATCGGCAATTTCTGAGAGCTTCGCACCAGCGGCTCGGCAACTTCTCAGAGCTTCAAAGCAGTCTATGTGCAATTACCCAGACCTTGAAACCAGTGGCTCTTCAGTGGCTCTTCGATTTGTCAGAGCCCGTTGTCCGATTATGATTCTGCTCTTTTGTGGCTGTGGCTGAACCTCTGTTTCCGCAGCGATTCGGGTGTGGTCCGATTGAAATTCTCCAAAAGCCGGTTCGGGGATTTCCCGCAGTCTGACAGCAACGCTGTCGCGATTCCTCAAAGCTTCTAACAAGCGGATCGGCGATTCCTCAGAGCTTGGAAAAAGCGGATGGCCAGTTTCTCGGAGCTTGACACCACTGGATCCGCGAATCCTCATCGCTTGAAACCACTGGATCGGCGAGTTCTGACACCTTCAAAGACGTGCATCTACGATTCGTCACAGGCCGTGATCCGATTGTGATTCGACTCTCCTGTGGCTCTGCCTCCGCTCTGATTCGGCTCTGCTTTGGCTCTGTTTCGGCTGCGATGCAGGTGTGATCCGCTTTGGATTATCAAAGATTCCTCAGACCTTCACAAAGCGCATCGGCAATTTCTGACAGCTTGACACCCGCGGATCCGCAATTTCTCAGAGCTTGAAACCAGTCTATGTGCAATTTCTTAGAGTCTTAGAGCTTGAAACACTCGGCTCTGCGATTCGTCAGAGTCCGTTATCCGACTCTGATTCGGCTGTCGTGTGGGCAGTCGTAGTAATCGCAGGAGTTGTGGTACTAGTACCAGGACTAGTAATTTACTAATAGTGGTAGTAGTAGTACTACTGGTATTTGTAGTAAGTAGTAGTCGTACTAGGATCACGAGTAGTACCAGTAGTAGTACCAGTACTAACTTCAAGACTACGACCAGTACAAAAACTATGCTTTCCTTATGACTACTAGTAGTACTACTACTACTACTACTTTTACGACTACTACTACTACTACTACTACTACCTCCTACTACTACTACTACTACTACTACTAGTCCTACTGCTACTACT